TGATCAATTTTCTAACTACAGACCAAACATCTATGAGTGGACCGGCATCATCAGGAACCAACAAGAATCCTTGAGTTTCTGTTTATCTTAGATGGTATTTCAATGTTTTTTCATAAGCCTCTCCAAGATGGATTGGTCAAAGACCTGAAATTGAATGCTTTGTCATTGGCCCTTGCAAATGGAAAGCTTGACCCCAAACCCCGAAAGCAACATGGTTTTCAGGGTGTTAATTGTTTCATTCGGCCGTGGACGGCATATCAAACGACCGCCGAAGGTTGCAATTTGTCCTTGAGTTTCTGCAGCTGGGAGGAGGCTCGATTTGAGTCTATCACTGAAATTGGAACCCAAGACTGGTGCATTCCAGGGTCATCAAATAGACACCGGACAGCTGCTGAACAACGATCCACCCTCTGCGCCTTTTGGGTACCTCCTCTGGAACCCACAGGATGGCCTTGCGGGGCGAACTGGTCTTGTAAACACTTCACTCGAATGGCACAAGAAATTGCAAAGCAATTCTGGAAACATTCTTCCGATCGGTGTTGGTAGTGTTCATCTTGCCGTTTCTTGTGCTCTCCCGTCATTCGTTCTTTGGTTGACGCCAGCTGCCGAAGTGCCCTGGAACCTCCAAACCACCCAAGTTGGAACCATGGTTGGTGCGCACAAGCTGGTGAGAAATCCCAGAGACCAAATCATACAGTATACATTAATATACCATCCAAGCATGTGTCCTGTGTAATGCGGGCCCACACCTCAACTAGCCTATCTCTCCTACTTAAAATCCGTGACGTCCCGCAAGAAAGTGTACTATATAATAATATATAGACTATTGATTAGTAAACCCACCCCATTTGGATGCACGAACTTGCGGTCCACGAGTGAAACACCTTTTCATATGGGGGGGTTTACTAAAATCAATGGGTCTACATTGATTACGTCAACACCTGCGGCTGCCCTCACCTGAGTCCATTCTTTGGAGCCATCATCGCCCCAGGAGGGATACTCGCCCAGCTCCAACTGAGAAGTGCCTGGGACCAAAACCGGGAAAGCGACGTGGCCAGAACGGGAAAGCACATGGACTGTCGAATCCGCACCAGGTCTGACAGAGGATGAGTGGTCGGCGCTTGCCTCACCCACAACGTTGGTGTCCGATTCTTCAACCGGGTGGTTTTCAGGTTTCCTCCACTGCTTGGTGTCTCCTACAAACACCGCAGACATGGTCTGCTTCCACAAAGACGACGGCAAAAAACACGCAGGCCACCCACTGAACCCTTCGCTTGGTCATTCCCTTCGCTAAAAAGCTGAAGTGTCGGCACCCAAGAAAGCAAACAAACTTAGCTGCCGGAACCTCCCACCCAGCCTTGCTCGTGAGACTTGTCACCCACTTGCACCCAATCACGCTCGCCGTTCTCGCACATCACGGCCGCCCACTGGTCTTCGGCCGGGAAGAGCGCGCCTTTCTTCCTCAAGTCCCGCACACGCGGCACATGTCATGCGCATTCCGAAGAAGATTCAGTTTTTTGGAGCGCAAATGCCCGGGCCGGCCCTGCGCGTCCTCATGCACATTACAAGTGAAAACACGTGAACACCGGTCATGATTATCTGGCCAGCAATCAGGATAGATCGGGAGATCGGGAACCCTCACTTTGTGGATCCAAAAAGTCAAACAATTTTATCATGGTGCGATGTGCCAAGGCTCTTGACAAAAGAGCGTGCCTCGCCCAGGGTCAAGAGTCTGCCGCCCATTTTCTTCACGAGCTCTTCCTGAAAACCAAAAGGTCGAGCAGCCAACCGGAAAACCAGGCGACCTTCGGTGGCGAAACAAGAACGGGCGGTGGGGTCAATCTGCCAGGTGGCCCAGTGGTTGCTACCTTCGTTTGGGGAAAGCTACGCACAAGAAATACTACTTATGACTTATCACTTATGGCGGAACCTGCGGGAAGTAGTTGCAATGCTGTCGCCACGACGCACAGGTACAAAAGCTACAGGTCGTGTGGCATTTCTGGTCCGTGTGCGATGGGAAATGCTGGAACAGGAAGGTACATACTGTATATACTTTTCTTCTTAGTCAATGGCAAACTCCATTCCACGAGTGGCTTTTCTGCCAACGTCATGTGCATGTGGGCGCGTGTTTGTGTGTAACCTTTGGAGTCACAAGGTTCCTTTTGGATTGTTTTTTCTGTCAGCAGGGGGCACAGCATTTCACTGGGACTGTCTCCAACGAAGCTACCAGTGAAATGGGATATCCAGCTTGGCCAGCTGGACGTACCTGCGTCTGAGTTGTGAATGTTTTAGCCACTCTCCAAGCCACTCTCCAAACGTAGAGGTCCTCAGGCTGTTGCAGGATGATTCAGGTCTGCAGATGTGCACTCGTCGATTCTCGCGTTCTTTTCATGTCTTGAGATTTGCACTTGGAGAGCTTTTGAACTCGGAGAGTTTTGGAACTTGTGGCTGAGTTTGAAGGAATTATAGGTTTCTCGTGGTGTTTTACCTGGACCCTTAGGGTTTTCACTTAGGCTGGCGTGTGGCAACCGCTTTCAAATCAGTACGCATGTCTATAAGCGTGTGAAACCCTTGAAATCACACGGGGCCTGTCGGTCTTTACTTAAATGTTTAGCAGGGGGACTGGTGCCGATTTGCCTATCCAGTCCAACGAAGCTATTCGGTGGTTCAGTGGTCTGATCAACCACTTGTACATGCCGCAGTGACGACTTCCAATTCCTACTGGTCCATGCTTGCAACTAGAACAAGACTTTGCTTTTGGCTTCGGTTCTGCATTAAAGCTGCTAATGAGCTCGACCGACTTGCTGTTGAACCTTGTCGCACTTGGAGGACTTTCGAGACTTTCTTTCATGTCATGTTGTGAGATGCCTCTCCACTTAACACTCCAGGTATGAAAACTCCCTGCACTCTTAGGTGTTCTACTTATCTCGGCTGGCGGGTGAGTGCGTGTCCATCACCAGATGTCACCATAGTCAGGCTTCGGAGGCTTTCCAGGTCATGGCGAAGCTGCTCTTGGTCCACTTTGCGGACTCCACACTGGCTCCATCATCATCCTCCTCAGGAAGAACTTTCGAAGATGCCCGCCCCATGACGGAGATGCGGCACGGGCGCCAGCTGCGCTGGAGAAGTGGATGTCGGAAACCGAAAGGCAGACCCCGCACCAGTGCTTTCGTGAAGAGTAGGCTCCCTCAATGGGCATTTCGAGTGCTATGAAACAGCTACAGCATGTATTTGTATCATGTAACCGTTCAAGTTCTAGTGAAGAGTTTTGGGCTCGGTGCGAGAATGGTTGACCAAACGCCAGTGTCCTAAGTCCTAGGTCCTATGCTGGTCTCTTGTGCTAGCACGCCTCCCCTTCTGTTCGAAGGAAAGGAGACGCAAAGTCGCACGCACTTTTTGGGCCAGGTGCAGTTGGCGAGCCACCATTCTCAGGAAAGACACACTGATGCTCGACTATGACTATGAATTCTCTGCGCAAACGGCACCATCGTGCAGCATCTCACAAGTCTACATCAAATTTCTGCCCAGTGCTATTCTGAAAGTCGAGAAGTAACATGTCTCCAAGCATGTGCGTATGTATATAGGGATTATGTGGGGATATATATATATATATATCAAGTATGTGTTTAACACGATGTCCAGAACATGGTTCAATCGGTTCACCTCTAAGTCGAGAGCAAGAAGCACTCCCTCATGGCCGCCGGCGAGCGGCGCTCCCACCCGGAGCGGTCGCTCCTCTCGGGCGGTTTTGGACCAAGTGCGGTGCTTTAGTGTACGCATCCGCTGCGCAAAGTGAGGTTGTTTGGTCTGACTACGTATTGTTGTTTGTACCATTGGGCTGACTGTCAGACATGTCTGCCCATTCTCTGTTGACTTGACACCCCCGATGCCGGGCACTACGAACAGCATAAGTCTGACTCCATTCACCTCAGCCTTTGTCTGGTGCTTTCAGGCTGAGGCACACGCATCCTGAAGCCAAAATGGCGGCCCAATGACTCCAGGCTCTTTCTCTTTTTTGCAGGAGGTGTCTCAAACCTCTTCCTTGAGACCTGGACAGAAAGCACAATGAGTGCTCGGCCAGATTTCCAGCACGTGTGCTCCTGGCTCCCGAAACCACAGCAGCGACGAAATCGATCGTTTTGCCCGTCGCCCATCGGCGAGTGCGGGTGAAACCACACACCTGGCGGCCGGGGAGAGGAGTCGCTGACGAGGAGGGTGGTGAGGCATTTGGGTGGCAGCTTAAAAGTGTTGAAACTAGTGTTGAACATGACATATGTGCATTTATTATATTAATATATATATGTGTGTGTGTGTAAATGTGTGCCCCCCCAAAAAAAAAATATATATACACAGTATATATATATATAGAGATACAGAACCCTGGAAGACTCTTCTGTTCATCTTCCTGGGCGGCTATTTCACCTCAGGTGCAGGATCCGTTTGATTCTAGCAAGCCTCTGCGACGGCCACAAGCCTTGCACCAATGGATTTCATGACCTGTCCTTCGTATGTACCCCTATGTATCTATGTGTGGAGGAAGCATCATGAGATAGTTCTGGACCTGCCGTGTGTCATTAATACGCAAATATGATTATGTATCTAGATTCATTACAGTATATAATTCCTTGTTTCCTTTATGTCAGCAATTCATTCGACTCTGGTAAGAGACATGTGACATGATTGACTCTGTTATCGCTTGTCAGGTTTTGTGTGTTCTCGTTTTTTGTGGGTGCATTATCAAGTTCAGCTCGAGCCAGTGTCGCTTTTTCGGTAGAAGAATAGTCTAGCAGGCGCCGCCTTCCTAGCCCCAAAGTCAGACCACTTGGAGATGAGTCAGAACCCCTGGAGGCTGGCTGATTCCCAGAATGAGCTCACCATCATCGACCAGGAAGTGGTCAACCTGCCGTGGTGTGCGGTCAACCTGCCACAGGGTCCACGGGGCGCCGTTCTTTGCGTCCCAGCCGAATGACCCAGCATCCAAGAACTCCAAAGGCTCGCGCCTAGGCCAAGGCTGCCATGCGCAGCTGCAGCTCTAAGGTCTCTGCTTTGGTGCGCTGCTGGTCGAAGAGCTTCCGCTCTTGTCGCAGCACCTAGCGTTCAGCACCGGAATGGCTGATTCCGGCGGGTGTTTCTCAGGCCATGCCAACTCATCCACCCTAATGCGGTTCACCATCATCGTCCTGTCAACCATAAGGAACTAGCTTGAGGTGGTCAGGTAATCAACTCATATAAGTGTGTGAAGTTTAAGGGCTCAATCAGGCGTTGGATGAGGGCAGGGCAGAGCCAAAGCTGGGTTTACTTGCTCTATATACTTCCCACAACCTCCCCTGCACAAAGACTGAAAAGGTCACAGGCTTCAGAAGCTGGAGCAAGTGACAGAAACATTCAATACACCTGTGCCACCATGCAAGCACAACCGAAGCAAGCTGGTCAGCTATAAAAAACAGGTATATACTTCTGGCCAATCATAGCCAAACAGAATGTACGTGCTCTTTTGCCCAAACTCCCATCCCGCTACAGAGGTCTCCCAACATCCAATCGTCAGGGTCAACCTGGTACCTTTTGCTTGATTCTCTCTTTGCAGCTCGGCACCAGCTGCAGCTCTCTGGCCTGCAAATTAAAAAGCGAAGCTGAACGAGCCGAGCCAAGTGGAGCCATGGGCTCGTTGATGCTGGATCTTGTTCCCCCAACATCGTCCTAGTCTCTGCAGCCAAAAAGGCCGAGTTTCTTTTCGAGTTGTTGTCTGACAGCTTGGAAATGCCTAAAAAATCCGTTGGGCTTCAAGCCTTGAACCGTTTATCAAATGAAGAGACGTGAATGAAAGTCTTCCATCTCAACTTCCAAGGACCATCGACACGCCGAGAATTCGTGATTCCCAAATTCTGGAGAAAGAGCCGACATCTCAGCAGGGTGGTGCATCTGATAGGAGAAACACCAAGAAAAATCGTCCACTTCTAGATTACATCACTTCGAGGGCTTTGTGCTACCTGCTAACTTCATTTTGCTACCATTGCCCTTCACTTGTGCGTATTTCCTGCAGGTATGCGATATGCAAGTCTTAACTCCCACATGCTTGGTCTAGCAGCTAACATTCTGTCAGTTCCACCCTACCAACCTCCATACTTATACTGCCTACCGGCGACGATGTCGGGCAGGGGGACCTCCGAATCCCGATGCTTTTCGCGGGTTCTTCGCACGTCGATTTGGGGTTCGCAAGCGCCACCGGTGACCACGCCCTACTGATGCTTTCCCAAAGAAACGGTCAGATGTGCGGAGTGATGTGATAGGATGTTGCCGGTTTGCCCATCAGATGCCAGTGATGTGATAGGATGTTTGATCACTTGTAATTATGGGCAAAAAGGTCGAAAGCGAGCTTCCTGCCAGGGTGAACCGTCACCGCTGTGGAAGGGACTGCAGGATTCTTGTTGCCTGGGGGCCCGACCCAATAGCGCCAAGAGCCGTTCAGTCTCAGCTCACAAGCCACGGCCTGCGATGCAGGGCCCTGCTGGGCTCCGGCATTCTGGCCATGCCAGGACTAGATCCAAGAATCAACCTCCCTGGGGCGTCAGGCCAATGGAGCCCCATTTGGAAGGTGCAAGCAAACCAACTCAAGGCCCGCCCAGACGTAGCCAGGCTCAGCTATCTGTCTTCATTGGTTGGGGTGCACTCGTAGGGTAGCAGGAAAATTCACATGCAAAGTCGCTGAGGCGATGGTACATCCTGCACACCCAACGAATTGATCAACGCAAACGCGCATCAAGAGCTATAGGATGTTTCTTGCAGCCAACTTCTGAATTATACGCGAACGGAACACCTTGACATCAGACATTTGAATGGTTACCGCTAAAAAGTCCATGCTCCGGGCTTTAGCATTTCGAGAAAGACGGACATCAGAGAATGCCCCCGGATTCGCATCTTCGTACAGCTTCCATGCCCTAACTCGCGGATCGGATAAACAAACTTATTTAAAGCGACTCTCATTGACCAACGAAATCATCGAGCCTCCGGATCTGAGACATAGCGCCGCGCGAGCTCCAGGAGGCAATCATGCCTGAAAGACTCAGAGATCAATCTCCTCCACCTTCAAAAGGTCTAAAATAAGAAGAATCTTCTGGACCCTGAAATCTCGTCTGCATGGGGTATTCAAACTCAGCTTTCGGAGACAAGAAGAAGACTCGAATCAATTCAACAGTGCTGAATCCAAAGAAAGAAGCTCAAGAGATCCATAAAGCGCCGAAAACCTCTCTTTTCCTCAGACATCACGGGAGTTCTTCGTGGACCGCAGGTGATACTGTCTCTCACATCTCTGTCTCCTCCGTGTCTCCCACTTTCTGCGGCCATGCCACGTCTGCCGTCGATGGCTGGACACGCCGGCCTGTCCATTCATGGGCTGATGGGCCCTGATGGGTTGAAGGTGGGACAGTCTCTCGCCACGAAGGTGTGGAAGGCCGGTGCGGCCCGGAGTCGGATCCCGAAGCTCGACCACCCTGAAAGGCCTCGGTGATGTTGTTGAAGTAACCGCTGGTGAGGCGACCGTCGTAGCCCAAGGGTCGGCTTTGCACCTCGGCTGGTCTGGCACAGCCGAATGGTCAGGCATACGGGAAAAGTGTTCAATACTAGTATCATGCAGCACATGCATCCAACCATCTGAAATTATATTCATTCATCTGCATGGGTCCTGCTACATATTGATCGGCATGCGTTTTGCCATGCTCCCCCAGTCCCAGCTCCTTGTGCTGTCGCATGAGCTGCGTACGTCCTCATCACGTGTCCGTCGGAAATGACTTGGCTCAGCATCACCTGCAGGCGCTCAAAAACCGCCTGCCCCGCTGTTAGAGCATGATCATGGAGCAAACTAATCACTCGCCTGCCAGTCAGAAGACACGTGAGGAATAAACCATGGAGAAAAAGCAACAAACGAGCGACGTTGTGTGTGCCTAAAACGCTCCGCAGCACATGCAGAAATGCCTGAGCACTTGTGAGTTGGAGGCTGCGACGGTTGTCGGCACAATCGGGGATACCCATTAACGATATATTTATATTATATATATCATGTATATACAGGCACCTGCAGGCATTTGCGCTGAGAGAAACATGCAATGAAATCAAGGGTCCCCCAGAAAAAACAACAACACAGACTCAAACCCTTGTGTTTCTGGAAAACAAACCGTTCTTCTGGAATCAAACCGTTTTTTGCAATCAACCCGTTTTTGGACGTTCTGAAAAGCCGTGGCCTTCTGGGGTTAAGGTGCCCGCAGGCATCCGCAGGCACGAAATCAATCCAAATGAAAGAACCCAACAACCACGCCTTTTCAAGAGCTCATTCGTATGTCTCTCTGTGGTTAGCGAGAGAACACAACGCCTGAAAATCCTGATCCAAGCCGGGCAGTTTCTGGCCAATGCCTCAGAGACGAGGTGCTTTCGTCGGAGCAGGTGCAAAAGGCAAAGCTTCACCGAGCTTTGCACACTAAAGGGACAAGGATCTTATCGAACACACTGAGATATATACTTACCACAAATTTGGAAAAGACATTAGAACACCATGCCCCCCCCGCAAACAAAAAGAGCTGGAAATGCACCATTGACATGTTCCATCTCAATTTGTTGTGTAGAAAGCTTCTCATGAAAGCGCAACGAGCTTCACCTGCAATGGATCTTCCAGAATCTTTCAGGTCCCCCAGCGACCGGCAGAGCTGCACTTCTTCGCCAGGACCCGTTCCTCCGAGCGACCGGCGGAAAGGGTCCGGCGAGAACAGCGAGAGTCGCGGTTAGAGGGTTCCTACCGAAAAGAAAGGAAGGCTCTTGAAAATTCCACCTGAAGGCTCCAACAAAGAGGGAAAACCGGACTCTGAGATGATTTTTTCCACCTGGAAAACAGGCCTGCTGTCTTGGGCCATTCCAGGCTCCGGACCCGTGGATTTGGCAATGTCTGGAGCGGCACCGTCACGCGCTGGAGCAGCTCTGCGCCCGCGTCCCGCAACCGCAAGGTCATGGGACCTGGCTATTTAGCTCCCTGGGGCTGTGACACCAAGACCGGTGGTTGTTTTGGTCTGGAGGCCATCCATCCAGGTCTTTTTTGTGGAAACTGGAGTAAAATAGACATACAGTACACTTCCTGGAACCAAAATGGAAGTGGAGTTCACCACTTGTTTGGTACTCGGAAAATGGTCTTCCTTTCGGGGCCATGCCATCCAATTCCATGTTAGTTCCAGGGAGTGTAGTACGTGTAGAGTGATTGGATAATATTGGATATGAATCACTGGGCAGGTCTTTCAGATTCATCCATCACCACCACCAGAAATTGTGCTCATGCTGCCCTCTTCCATCATATCACTGCTCTTGAACCCACTCGCCATAGGTCGTCCACTTCGGTGGAAATTGAGCTCCAAGGGCTGGGGACGGAGGACTTGGTCTGCAACTTTCCCACGGCGATGCCTTTTTTCATGTGGCTCACACATGTTCACACAGGGCTAGGGTCCTCAAAGCTTCGGATGAGAGGCTTCGTGAAGTTACAAATTCCCCAACAATTTGCACGGATCTTGCTGACGAGTCCCTATGACCTATGGTAGGGTTTACGTGTTTCGTCTATAGAAAGTACCAATGCTGCTGGAGCCTAGCTCAATGAAGTTATATAGTAAGTAGACTCGAGAGATTCAATAGACTCAGACGCTTCCACACTTCAAGGACTTACATGGTTGGCATCCTGAATGGGAGACTCGAAGCACGACCATGCTCCCCGAGGTCGATTGTTTTTTCCCCTCTGTGCTCTCTAGTGGTTCGAATGGCAGCTTTTCCAGTCCGAGTCATGAGTCGTGACCCGCCACCGAACATTCTGGGATCATCATTGTCATTGGTGTTGTTCCCCATGGCGACTTGGCCATGCGGTTTTTTCATCGCAAGAATGAGAGGAAGATAGAAAAGGTTCACAGCGATCCCTTCCAAACATATCCGATAAGTTCCTACGGGAAGGTGTTTGGAGCCAGACAGGGCCGTCTGGCTCCAAACTGACATAGATAGATGATGTTGGCTGTTGGACTGAAATAGATGATCTGGGGCATCACCATAGGCCGTTCAAATCACTCTCCATCCGAGGCAGCGAGCTCACTTTTGGGTGGTTGAGATGGATATATACCGGATAATACCGGATACTGCCGGATACTTATCTAGAAACTCATGGAGTTTCCTTTACAGCATCTGCCCAGAGACTTTAAGAGAGGGAGAAGGAGGGAAACCTGGTAAAGGAAGAACAAAAGCCAGTAGAAACCAGTATGCAGGTCCTAGTTGCCAGGCAAGAGGCCAGCAGTTAACCAGGGTAAGAGGCCTGGCCTATCGGCTGGCTTTCTACTCCAAAAGCAAATGCACAAACTGAAACGTCCCAAGCCCCCGGGCCTCCGGGAGGTCGCGTGGCCACCTTGCTCTGATCCCATTTCTGATCAAAGCCTCGGCCTTGGGCCCCGAAGAGCGCGATCAGAACGGCCAAGTCATCTTGACAGCTGCAACTCTCCCCCTTCAAAACTTATCCTACAAATATAAGTCTCTGTTACGTGTGCGTGTGTGTGTGTGTGTCAGGCATATAGCTCTTCATGACAAAAGGTGCAAATGTCCCAACCAATGAGGATCTTTTTGATGCGCACATGAGGGTAGCCTGCAAACCTTCCTGAAAGGATCTTTAGCTGGAAGTGCACTTGTGATAGGGCGTATCTTAAGATACAGCTCCTATGTCCCCCATTCCCCCCCCTCCACCCCACCGGCACACTCGCTCACACTCTCTCTCTCTCCCTCCCTCCCTCCCTCCCTCCTTATCTCTCTATCAACATCAAACAGCGGTTCGCTCAGCTCAAGATGCCCCATATCATATCCACATGATCTTTGCAGACCTTCCATCTTCTCCCGCCCCACGGATCATTGCTCCGTGGCACCACTTCCCACTCGACCTCGGGCCCCAATCGCGCTCGCAGAGCGACGGGTTTTCTACGGGGCTGGTCATCTGCAGGGACGGGTTTTCTCGGTGCCACCGGCAACTGAAGATTCACACATAGTATAGGACCATAGGACCTTCCACAATGAGTGTTAGGTCCATTGGGGATCATCCTGGCACGTCCTGGTGTAGTAGGACCCCAACAAAACCCACCAAAAAAGAGCACCATTTAGACAGGTGCCTTCTAAGATTCTAGTAACAGCACAAAAATGTTTCACAACAAGGAAAGCATATGCTTACGACGTAAGGTTTTTGAGGCCCCCCTTTTTTGTGGACAGCTGAGCGGCTGAGCGGGTCTGCGAGCTGGCTCTTCATTTTGGTATACATATTATATCCCCATATCTTATCTACTAGTAACAAGAAGCTATTAGGGGCTCCTGGCCTTACATCGCTACTAGGAGCATTCTTACTATCATGTATATATTTTGTTCTCTAAGTTGACTCGGATTTCGTTTGACTCGGGTGTGTCGAGGTCGAGAGCCATGTCGAGCGTCCCAGCGTCCCTTCTCACAAGTCTTTAGGGCAAGCATCTGTCCCATCCTAAATCCCGCATAAGTAAGCCGATGAAAACGTCTAGTTTGGACCCAGAATTCCTGTCTCCAAAACCTGTTTTTCAACTCTTCATCTCGAAGCTGTCACCCAGCCCTCCTGATATCTTGACCATCTGAGCCACCCAAGGCATACTCCGGATGGGCCACCACGATGTAGTCGGAGCGCGTGCCCCCCTGCCGCGGCCAACGGACTCAGCAGCCCGTCTGCAGGAGGGAATATATATATATACCCTGGAAGTCCTAAACCATTTTTTAAATATGGTCTTGAGGTGATTCGAAAAGGAATTTCTTTACTTTGGTGAGTGGTAGTCTTTGGACTTCTAGATTCTAGGTGTATACAGTATATTTATAGTTAGAGGACCAAGCACGGAGCATTCAGGAATCAATGGCTCCCCAAGGGAAACCCTTCGTTTCGTTGGTTGAAAACCTTTGAAAACCATTGGCTAAGCCATTGGAGTTTCCCCCGGTCGCTCCTTGCAACCCATCTCGTTGACTTGCGTGAAGAACAGGCTGTGACCCCCAAAAAAAACATGCCTCCGGTGAACTTGTTCACCGCCTCTGGGGAGCTGATGGTGATGTCATGTGAAGGGAAAGGAGGTGAGGACATCCCAAGCAAGGCCTCATAGAGGTTGGTGATGCCTCCTCAGACAGTAGCAGATCGTGAAGTGACAAAACATTGCAAAACAAGGTCCTTCAGGATCTTCACAGCATACAGCCAGAAAAATAAGAAGCTCAGCTGCTCATGGTTGAACGGGCAACATGATGCAACATGTCTCCCAAGAAGGTGCAGATGGTGTAGAAGATCTTTATATATACTTTATATTGTCCTACCAGTCTAGGACGAAGTTTGGTGCCCACCTGTTGGTCCAAGTTGCTTAGCCCATACATTGTGGGCCCAAGCTCACCATCGCCCGCCGACTCGAGCCGAGGAATAGGAGAAGCGCCACTGCAGAATCCAGGTGAATGTCACATCATATAACTTCGTCCCTCTCCCTGTCGCCCATCACTTGGGCTAAGTCAAGAATGTCAAAAACATCTTACCTTCATCTGCCTTCATCACAGCAGCAGGGCTCCTAAGTCAAGAAAACTCTCTGATTTCAAACATCAACTTGCTTTGGTCCGGTCTGCACATCTCAGCATCCCCTGCAGGAATGATGCTTTCACCCTACCAGAAGCGACACGCGGGGTCAGTGAGGTCGCGATCAATTGGGAGGTCCCAAAATCCACGAAATGGCACTAAATCAAGCCGTTCTGGCTACAGCTGCCAAATGACAAGACTTATCCGATATTGGAACCTCAGCCAACACTTATCCGGTCTAAGATGGTGTGACCCGACTTGGGAAGCACCTCACGCAGACAAAAAGTTTGTGACACTGCCTCTTCAGGCGGGCAGAACGGAACTGCAAGAACCAGATCCCAACTTGCCTGGCAAGACAGGCTGTTGGATGCATGTGAAGATATGTGAAGTAAATTGAATGAACATGGCAAAGCCAAAGCCTAATCCATTCATGGCTCAGAGACCATCGCGGACAATCTATAGAAAACTGCCTCATATGGCTTCCATAAGACTGGTGACTTCAACCAACCTTCTCCCTTCCTGAGCTCACTCCCACCACTTCTCCCACACCTCAGCCCACGCCACTGGCCGCACACACGGCGTCCAAGAACGCCAGGCTGGCCGCACGCACGGAGGGCCTCGCAGAGCCCACCGAGCCGAGCGGTGGCCGTGGAAAAAAGACCCTCTGAAACATGGTGAAGCGTTGTGATGCCTTGGGTTTTCAATGGTTTTTTCATAACCCACCAGTCACAGGGAAGGGACCGTCCCCTCTATTCACCCACATGCGCCCCCTGGAAGAATTCGGAGCGAGGCGGAGGTCATGAAGTGTCATCGGCCTCGTCAAGACCAAAACGCCATGAGGACGTCGATGTACATCGATGCACGACATCACTTCTGGACGTTTACGACGACAAGAGGACTGAAAGGGGGAGAAGTGAACGGGAGCACCCACTATCTCCCGCTGCAGACCGCTGCCAAGCAACTCGCCCAAGCCCTTGTAGTCCAGCACAGCCTGGCGCCAAACACCCACGCAGTCCATGCCCACCAGTGGTGACTAGCTCAGGTCAAATGACAACCAGACATGATGTTCGAATCATCTACATGTGTCCCACATTTCTAGGCTAGATTGCGGCGTCTCTGTCGAGATGGTTTATCCTGCTCCTCCCAAACCTGGCTTAAACGAAAACATGCACTTCTTGTGCTGTGTGCCGGACCCCGTCAACTCCTGCTTGAATCAAAGATCATCATATATACAAAAAACATATACAAATACCGTATATCTGTAGCATCAATGCTGCATGTGTTTAATTACAATTGTTTAAGTTTAAATACGTTCCGAGAAAAAAGGATAAAAAACTGCAGAATCTACTGGGCCAACAGCCAACCCTGTCCATCTTCGCATCCATCCGCTGTCTCCCCGCTCCTCGGGCAGACGCCGGATCTCTCCGGCCAAGGCACGGCAGGCCAAGGGCGTACGCCCCAAAGCCTGCGCGGTTGCACGGTCGAAATGGCCTTCTTGGGGGCCGAAAGGAGGAAATAAAACGAGAAAACCCGAGATCCCTCAACAGCAATGCTAATGGCGGAGTTTTCCAGCAACACCTGCCAAGCAAAGGGAGGCCTAATCTGCAATGCTGCCAACGTGTTGCTTCATCAAGAGTGGCAAAGGAACCAAACTCCCCAACCATGCGGAAGAACCAGGCATCGCATCTGTTTCAGATCCCGTTTCGTGGCGAGCGACCAAACCTCAATCACCTCCCCCAGCCGTGGTGTCCGGCAGTCTTTCACCCGTCTGAGAGATGCACCGGCAAAGGATCCATGTAGGGACGAATGGTGAAGACCAAATACCTTGGGCCAGGTGAGGCCCGGCCGTCAACGCGCGGACGTCCACGTCCGGAATTCGCATCCGATGTTCCGTCTCCAAGGGGCTCCGGGTGCCGTGGTAAACGGCGCAGGGTCTCGTACTCCACCTGCCCAATGGTGAGGTGCAATTGCTTCAGGTTCATGCATGTCCCTAGCCCTAGCCGCTAGCCATCCACCGTGCCCATCAAGAAAAAACCGGGAGTAGACCTGACTGAGTCCTGCTTCAGGATTCAGAGGCACTAAGCTCAGGAGGTCCCTGTTCGTAAGCCATGTCCAAAAATGCTGACGAAGCGCTTAGAATCGCTTGGAGGACCTGCCCAGGTACTTCGAGGGCATTCCGGGAATCTCGCCTTGAGATAGAGCCTGGAGACGATGGCCTCTGGCCTCATGTCCAAGTCCTCCGCCTCAACAGACTTTGGGAGACAGGAGATGGTGGACAAGTCTTGCAGCACTCGCGCAAAATGAGAAGCCCATTCCGATTCCTACCCGGCCCTGGACAGTGGATTTGCCGTCGTGCATTGTCTCCGGTTCTGTTGGATTTTGGCAATCATCGCTATTCTCGTGTTTCTGGCTGGCTCACAAATCAAAGCCCTGCTTTAATGCGCACTCTTTCAGGTGCTCTTTCCTGTAACGGCCCGCTCATTGTGTCTCTGTTGAGGCCCTCAATTGTGTTGAAGAATAGTCATACATTGCCCATCATTGGGCTAAAGTCTGAAATATACACTGAACTACACCATTACACGTCACGTGGCTGAGACAATTCAAGCCCATTAACACCACTCACCACTCGTTCACAAATTCCTTTCACTTCGGCCAGCCCCCCCCACGTGACACCTCCTCGCGCCATTCGGCCATCGCAAAATTGGCGCGCCAGACCTGGCCAAAGAAGGTCTGGTTCCTGGAGGTGGTCCTCCTAAGACCCCTGTGGAAGAAGGAAACAGACCGAAGCACATTGGTTGGGCGGGGGTCTTGCTAGTGTACACCGAAGTGGTTCGAGCACGCGGCACTTGCCTTCACGTCCACCCTCGAAGTCGGTAGATGAAACGCCGGCGCGGTGGCTGGTAATGTGAGGCAAAAACGCGCCAGAGCGGCTGGCTTGCGAAGCGTGCGGAAGACTTGACCTGTCGTGGCAGGTGCGAAGCAAAGAAGTGAAGGAAGTCAAGGTTTTCCTGGGAGCTGGTATCCAATTTATATTGTTAAAGCGTGCTAGTTGGAAGGAGTTGGAACAATCCACCATGTGTCCGCTGTGAAGTCTGTATCGCTACTTACTGTAGCTACTTCCAGGTGGCAATCACCTAAGTTGGCACATGTGGGCATCCCCTTGTTGGTCAGCACCTGCTAGGTCGTGTGCACATTGAAATCCAACGGCTTGGGGATTCACACCGGTGCTGATCCATTCAGCGAGCTTCGGCCCGCCTCGACTCCGCGTCCGTTCCCGGCGACCCCGCGCACTTTTTCCCTCGGAACGCATCTACCCCTCGGCGTCCGGATCACCCACGTCCTCTGGCTCCCCATCCTGGGCTTTGCGGTTCACCGACTTTAAGAGGGCCCAGTGACCGAACGTCCCAGGGGATGAAGAGGTCGCGGAGGAAGCACCAGGAGCGAATGACTGCATCACTTGGGGGATAGGTCCGGGAGCGACCGGAGTCCACCCATCTACAGCGACCGACATCGGTGTCAAGCTCCGACCGGTCAACCTGTTGGGCTCCTGGTGCCAGGAGCCCACCACATCGGATATTCATCTCCTCACTTGCAGGGCTACACTAGCTGCCTCCAACCTTTGAGGGTCAATTTTCCACAGGTTAGGGCCGGGGTGGGGCCCAGTTAAAGGGCCTTCCAGGAACGATCCAAGGACAACTACTGTAGCAGCTAGGGCACCTGTTCCCTCTCACATTCCGCCGAATGTGGTGCATCTCGCTCCGCATCCACCGCAGACAGCAAGCAGGCCGAGATCAGCGAGTCTGACCGTTCCACCTCGAGTTTGCCGCTTTTTTCGGTGCGGCGCAGCGGTCGCCGGAGGCCAACGGGTGGAGGTGGATCTGGGGGGGGTCGCATGGAGATCATGGGGTCGTTGCTTTCCCTTTTCAACGGCGTGTGGGGGGGGGGCACAGGCTCAACGCCGCCGAAGTTTGAAGGGGGTCCAGGGGCTCGCTGGTCACTGGTCTCAGGTGGTCTGCGTGTGACGGAAAAATGTGGTGGTCATTTACCATGGGAAAGCCAAGTACACAACGCAGCAGAGCACGCACCACACCAAGAATCCAACACACACGTGACAGTGGTGATTAGATATTTCTTGCACAAAAAAAACGCACACGGGCCTTCATCAAGCAGCGGCCGCCCTGACGCCTCTTCATGACTTCAACCTCCGACACTTGCAGTCGCAAGATGGATCCACCTCGCGACTGCCGGCTTGACATCTCCGTCAGGTAAACACGGCTTATGATATATAGTACGTATATATATATATATATACAATCAGAATGATAATAGTAATAACAACATTTATAATCACAACAATAATAATACAATATAACACAGTATAACAATGCAATTCAATACGTACAAGAAACATATATATATATATTCAATATGCATACCTACATATTATATACATAATTATATATATCTCACACGCACACATACACACACACTCTCTCTCTCTCTCTCTTGCGGTATATATAAACGCGTCCGAAATTAAAAACAAAAAACAAAACAAACCACGCATCATCCCCGGCTACCAGCTCCCTTTTTTCGAGATGAAGGATCCAATCCGCCAAATGTCCAAAGCCAAACCCCACATCTGCCTTGCTTCACAGTGATTTGCCCGGCGAAACGAGACGGAACTTGCCTGAGGTGCACAGCAGCAGCTGACCGATCTTCTCCTCAAGTTCCTCCTCCAAGATCTTCCGCGCCTTTAGCGCCTCTTGGTATGCCAACCTGAGGCGCGCTGCTTGGCATTGGTTAGTTGAACAGGAGCCACGACGGACTCCACCAAAGTGGGAAAAGCACTCATCCAATGAAGAATCTCGGAGAACTTCAAGGTGAAAGCTTTCCAAGCCCTTCCTCTACCGACGACAGTTTCAGGGGATGCGCTTGCGGAGCATCCCCAAAACTCTGCAGGTGATCCAAACATCCCATGTTGCCGTCACGACGGCACAATCAACATCCAAAGCATTAAGAACCTACAGCTTCAGTATTTCTGCCGGATCAAAGGAAAACAATTGTGCCAACTCCTTGGTGTTACCTAAGACCTAAGTTCAGTGGCTTCATGTCACATCAGCTCGTTTCACGACGGACGGTGGTCTTCCAAAACCCTGCACGACTAGAGCATCCAAATAATCTATCTTCATCATCCACCTTCTCCCAACCATCCAGTCAATCAATCTTGCTTCGCAGCTTCAGCCTTGTGGTGGCTTCAGCTTCAGCCTATCCCAACACATGCACCCCTCTCCGGCTCCCCATGCTCTGAGCGGCTCCTCGGCTGCATGTTCTTGGTGGTAGGTCTCCTGCTCAGCCGCGCTCAGCGACTCGAACCCCACCGCGTGGGCCGCCTCGGGCGGGGAACCCGCCGCGTGGGCCGCCGCGTCCTGGACCAACGGGGTGGGACCAACGGCCATCAAGACGCGTCAGAGAGACTGATGTGGGGGCTCCGGTTCAGGGCTGCTAGAAGGGTTGCTAGATAAAAGGGTTCAAGATGTCTCAAGCCGAGAAGAGGGGGTGGACCTACGTACAACTTTGGCAACTATGGTTGCTGGTCACCAGAACTAGGTGTCCTGATCCCAAGAGCCAAAAATCACGGATTCACAGTGAATCGCACGTGAAGGGAGATCGGAAGCGTTCCCCATGGCGTCTCTCCTGGTAGATCTCCGCTGGGGAGCGGGGCTTGCGAGGCATCCGCGGTAGCATCTGGGATCCGGTGATGCACATGGCACACACCTGATCACCACCAGACAGCTTGATGGCCTGAGGCAGTGGGCAGGGACTCCAGGAATGGCAGAGTGTGCCCCGGGCGGGTGGAACAGTTCCAGTTGCAGTTCCAGTTCCACGTCGTCCAACACAGGAGACTGGGGAGGGGGGAGGGGAGTTTCAGTTCCAGTTCCAGTTCCAGTTCCACGTCGTCCAACACGGGAGGCACGTCGTCCAACACGGGAGACTGGGGAGGGGGGAGGGAAGTTTCAGTTCCAGTTCCAGTTCCACGGAGACTGGGGAGGGGGAGGGAAGTTTCAGTTCCAGTTCCAGTTCCAGTTCCACGTCGTCCAACACGGGAGACTGGGGAGGGGGGAGGGGAGTTTCAATTCCAGTCCCAGTTCCAGTTTCACGTCGTCCAACACGGGAGACTGGGGAGGGGGGAGGGGAGTTTCAGTTCCAGTTCCAGTTCCACGTCGTCCAACGCAGGAGACTGGGGAGGGGGGAGGGGAGTTCCAGTTTCAGTTCCAGTTCTGGGCCCGGGTCTGGACGTGATTGCCAACGTCAGTTTAGCGTCAATTTTTTTTCCGGGGGGGGGGGGGGGGGGTTCCAGTTCCAGTTCGAGTTCCAGCGAGGTACAGTTCCACATGGTCCAACCCAGTTC